TCGCGGCCCCCCCGCTCCCTGAAGGGCTGCCTCTGTCCCCGGGTCTCCGGCCCTTCTGGGGAAGGGCTTGTGGTATCTCAAGACACGAAAAGTGGTTCTCGGAGCAACTCTTGTCTTTCTTCCCCTCCACCCCCCACATAAATAGTAATGGTAGTAGTGTAGCTTTTATTTAGCGGCATCTCTTCTTTTTCAGACAGGACTGATGGATGTCCTGCTATCACTGAGAGCAGGCCCCACTGCAGACACACTTTGTGGCCTGCTCTTACAGGTGACTCTGGCCAAGAGTGGTGGGACAGGCTGTGCATGATGGCCTAGGGGTCCACATCCTGCTCCCACAGCCCCTCTGCCTGGGTCAAGCTGTGCAGGCCTGACTGTAGGCTTGGGGATGGGCCACGGTTTTGCTGTTTGCTGTACTTGGAGGAGAGGGCTTTCTCCAGAGTGGTGTGGAGAGAAGGGCTCTTTGGTTCAGTAGCATTGGCATTAGGATGATAAGAAAAGGAGTAGATAGGGAAAAACCATAAACTGGGAAAGTTTTACTTGTCATTTACCTTTTTATCTTATATATAGATTTTCATCTCTGTCTGAGCTGGAAGTTAACTGGGTAGTAGCTGATGCATAAAAAAGTTTTGGTACTCATCCAGGATGATCCTGGCTGGAGTGACTGGAAACTATTGTGACTTAGTAAAGAGGAACAATAATTATGCTGTGCAGCTGAGGCAGGGGGCTCACGTTCCGTCTGTGAGAGTCTCTGCCTCACTGCTGTTGGGTTTGGGGGAGCGTCACTGCTCTTTACATGAGCGGTGGCTGGTCTTACAGCCACCTATAAAAAGCTGTAAGATGCTTTTTTACACCTAAAGGCTGTGACTGTAATACAGTTATGTATGTTATGAGATCTTGTGGACACACGAAAGGAGAGAATTGAGCTTTTCTTGATTATCTTTCTATTTAAAAGCAGCTGGCAACTTGGGAGTGGCAGATCCTGTTGTTAGACTGCTAGTACTGGCAGTACTAGCAGTTAATGTAGAATTGCTGTATTTGCCCTCTCTGAGCTATGCTGTCAAAGCTGTTTGATAAATGGATGTAAGGTGCCCCAGTGCCTTGTTACAATAGGATGTTAAACCTGACAAACAGTGTAGTACCTTATTCTCTACATCTGCTTCTGAGTTGTGCTGTCAATTTCTGACAACTCTTCAGATTATTTTTTAAGTCTTAAATTGCTTTTCTAACTCTGAAGAAGATACACATAGAGGCATGTGTACCATATACACAAAAAGTGAAATTGACTGACTTTGGAGGGATAATAGATGAATCACTGGGTGCTGTTGTAAAAGGTAAGAAATAAAATGGAAGCAAAAAATGTTTTCCTGAAGTGCTCCTGTGGAACTTCCTTGTATTTATAAAAATAATTTAAAAAGTACTTCTGGCTGATATTCTCTTAGTTTTAAGGAATCTTACGTGTCCTCTGAGTAGGAAGGATTAAGGAAAACAAGAAGGAACTGTGACTAAAAAAGTGAAGCTATGCTAGGAAACTAGGGTAATGCAGTTAGAAATAAAGTCCTGTGTGATTGCATGTTGAGAAGTAGACAGTTTCCATCCTAAACATCTTTTGATTATTGTTTTTAATAGTAGAGATACTATATGTGCTCTGAAAATGTTGCTGTGATGAAACACAGCAAAACTTTGTCCCTAAGTTCTAAACCTATTCATAGCAAGGAAGTCTCCAGGACGTATGATGACGCATTCCTAGCAGGAAATGCAGAGTGGCCAGTGGCTTGTTTATTGAGCAGCTTGCCCAACTTGAGTCTTGAGACCTGCAGTGTTAGTTTGGGTCAGATAATTGTTCAGTACTTCAGAATGAAATATGTGGGTTTTTTCCTAAGAATTTTTGTACAAACTGTATTCCAAAAGCTTTTACAAAAATCACACAGAACTACTTTGCCTTGCCTCTGTTAACATGCCTAGCTAGTCTCTGCTTTGTCACATGTGTACATGGGGACAAATTTAGAAGGGAATTAAGTTAAGATTGACTTAGTTTCTTCAGTCTTCTAAGGTTAAAATGCAGTGAGCTAAAAACATCTTTCTCCTCGCTGAGAGTATTTACGCTGTCGTTTAGCACACGGTGATACTACCTACGTAGTTGATCACCTGTAACTTTCCAGAGGGCTGCTTTACAGACAAGCTTTGTGCTTTTCTAAGACTCTAAAATGAGACTGAAAGCTAAAAGCTTCAGAAGACCTACCAAAAGGAAAGGAGGAGAAAGAGGAGAGCTCTTGCCTTGGCAGTGTTGCCGTTATGAGAAAGAGCAAAAGAATGATCAGTGCTGTAAGTGGGATAGAACATGACAGTGACATAATTCAGGAATTAAATTCTTACGCTTAGTAGGTTAAGTAGATGGATGTCATAATGTTCAGGATAATTCTAATTCAGAAGAAACGTTTAAGGCAAGACTTTGTTCATTTCTGCAGTGGAAATGCTGTTTGGAATAAATTAATATAAAATACTTCTTATATATGCGATTTTTAGTGCTAGATTTT